ACCTTTTTTAAGCAGTTTTTAATATTTATTTACAGCCTGCGACAAAAGATAGCACATCAACATGTTCTCCAATTTTGCCTACTTTACTTTTGATTTTTTATGGCTCATTAAATTCTTATTAAAGTTCAGTTCCTTATCTAACAAAAACCATATAAGTGCAAATTTCAAACTTTGTACAATAATTTCAATTTCTATTACCACACACATACTCGCATACTAAATTTTATATTTATACTTCAAAAACATTTTTTCTGGTTACCCTTGATTGGATACGTATCTATTAGTTTACCGCCTACCAACGGCAATGCGCTTGCGTAAAGAGAGCGTAAATAATATGCACAAAAACAGTTGCCAGAAATTTGTATTTATTTATTTTGCAAATACATGGATTTATTGGCTCTGAATATCATTGTAACTGATAAAATGCATTCAAGTTAGCGGAATTCTCGAAGCCTTGTAAAGCCCTTGCACGGTGCACGGATTGCACGGTTTGCAAGGCTGGGAAACCGGTTCTTACCACGCGATCCGTGCACCATGAAAGGGCCTTGCAAGACTTTAAGAATACCCCTATTATGTTTTCTTCCGCTATTAGAACGAACTTAGTCAGATAACCTCTAAGAAGAAATAGAAATTCAGGAACTAAAAGAAACAATTTTTTTAAGAAATATTTTTGTAAACTTTTTTTAACACAGCTACATTTACAGAGCAAGCATGGCAGCAGTGTTTTGTTAATTCTGTTGCTAATTTTTTATCATTGGCTTCATAAAACTTTGCTCGTACTTGCTTAATGATGTTGTCAAATAAAAAAAAAAATAAAAATTTTGCCATAATATGGCAACACTCATAGCAATGTAAACAACAGCACCAACACACCTACAAAGAAAAGCCCACAACCAGGGATGCCGTTTGGATCTAAATAGATCCAATTGGATACATATTTAGACGAATTATTGCGGGATACTTATTTTTTTCGGTCAGTATAAATGTGGATACTTTTTTAAATAGGCCAAAATTTTATATTTCCTATAAAGTTTTTTTCGTTCAAAAATCGATTTTCAGTAAAGATGGTAGAAAGCATTACGTTTTCTAAACGTATTAAGAATCGCCACTTAAGCGTGAAATTAAAGCATTTTATTTTTTGTGAACGAAGCAATGAACATATGAAGAGATCTCACTAAAATAGGTACAAGCGCAATTGTGTTAATTAGCTTAAAAGGATGCTTTAAGCAAGATCTTAATATAGGTACATATCGTCGTTTAAAGTACAAAACCGCGTATCAACAAAATGCAAAACCGCGTATCAAGATAATGCAAAACCGCTTATGTGACGTTGCATAAATTATTTTCTAAAGAATAAAAACACTTATGTTTTAAAATGGTTCCCTTTTTTATAGAGCAATCGCATTTCTGGCTGGTATATTTCAGGACGAATGGATCAGGACGAAGCCAAGAGCTTGTGTGAGCAAATCCAATTTTTGGTAGCAAATGTCAGTTACGCGGTTTTGCAGAATGACGATACACGGTTTTGTACTTTAAACGACGATATATATAAAGTAAATTTTACTCTTTCTGTAGTAATCTCTTTCATATCACATATTTTCATTTGTTAATTTAAAAAGAAAGAAGATTTCAATGTCGTTTAAAAAACTAAATTTGATTTATTTAAGGAAACTTGTATAAATTTTACTGAAAAGACTTTAAATACACTCTAAAAAAATTTGTTTATGTCAATGTTATTGTGGCTTGTTAACATTTTATTTTTAATATTTTTATTGAGCTTTGTACCACGATTGTTTATTAGGAAAAATTGAAAAAGCAACAAAGTCTAAGCGGTAGAAGTTATAAAAAAGTTATATTAAAATAAAGTAATGTTTATTATTAGTAGGAAATGTATTTCTAGTTTAAAAATTTTTGCAATTTTAAACATTCTATATATGTGTATTTATGTGTATATTTTAAAGATCTCAAGTTCAAAATCAAATACTGAACATCTCATACGTATACAGATTCTTGTTGAAAAATAGATACTTTTCAGTAGTAGTTTTACATGCTCTTTTTAGAGTGTACTTGCTATTTATTATACTTGCTTTGCAAAATACTTATGCACAAAAAATGTACTTTATAAATTGAAATTACAAATGTTTAATTTTATGTACATGTATTCCAAGTCCTTAGGATAGATTAAATTATGTCTTTGTCAAGAAAATGTTTGGTTTTCTTACAAATTATGAGATGTATATGTAAAAAAAGAAAATTGGATACATTTGGATACATTTTTGGCTTGGTCAGTGATACATTTTCTTGAGACGGCGCGGCAACACTACATATCTGCAAAGCAATGAGAGCACAATCACCGGCGACAGAGAACACCAACAACAAAATGCACTAATAAAAAACAGCCAAACAAACCACCAAAAGCGGCACACAACTCTTTGTATGTAGTTCAAGTTCAGTACAACCATAAAGCAGCAACAATGTTGCAAGTCAACAACAAAAATGATAAGTAAGAAAAATACGTTGAGAAAAAGAACAACACGTGACAGCAACGGCGCCAAAACCTGCCTCAACATAAGTAACTATGCTATGCTAAAAAAGTATATACATACATACATACATACATACATACATATGTATATGAGTTTATGGGGCGCTGCGATATGTTTTGCACGAGAGAATGGTGGGTGGGTGGGTGTTTTGCCGGCGGTGCATGTGATGAAAATTATGTTACTCCAGCTACGAGTAAAAGCGCAAATTGCTTATTACGCTGTTGGTCGTAACAGTGAATAGTGCGCACTTCTGTAAGCATTTAACAGCGCAACGTAGGGTGGGCGCGTCGATACATGGAATTCCTCTGGTTACAACAGCACAGCCCACAACTTTTCGTTAGTTACAATGCCAGTGCTGCTAAGCTTACTAAGCATTCGTTCAGCATTGCTTGTAACAGACGGTTTTATCAGTGCAAAGTGAACGGATGTATTCGGCGGTGTGCAAAATAAATCGTACGCGCATTAACCGCACAAACGTACAACAACAGTTAGTTTGTTTATTTTGAAATACTGCAAGCAAGTGGTAGTTGTTTGTGTTTGGATTTGTATTTACTGTGCGCGCGTTACTTGTTTATATTATTAGGATGTGGTGGGTGTGAAAAAACCCCCAAAAAAAAAAATATACAAAAAAGTAAATGATCGACTGGATGAATTATTAAACAATTTCGCATGCGATTAAATGAAATTCAGTTTGTGTGCACAAGCTAATTCTGCGCATTGTTGTATGAAAGTAAGCAATACATAAAAAAAAAAATCTACCAAAAAAACAAAAAAAAAAACGGAAATATAAACTAACTAGGAAAATTTTCACAAGCATTCGGCAGAATTCGATGCAGCGGAATGTGTGCAATCCAAATGAAAATAGAATGTTTATAAAGATATAAACTGTGAAATAAAATAGCTATGGGCAAAACCAGATGGCAGGTGAAATATTAGACTTTCTAAAAAAAAAAACATGAAATGAAAATGGTGTTTTTTTCTATTATTAGCTCATTTATTAAGTCTGGGCCTGTGCCAATCAGTAGCAAAGTTCTGAGTTGAAAGATGTTGTGCCGGCTCGGCAATTTTTTTCGCCTCATAGTTGTCAAAAAATATACTACTAATTTTATCAATTGGCATAAGTAAAATAAATAAAAAAAAATACGCAAACTGCATCTTAAAGAAATAACAGTATGGGATAAAATAATAAAAATTGACAAATCGATGCAAAAAAAAAAACCAAGAACTTATTAAAAATAAATAAATAAATAAAAAATATAAAGCATCCCTCAGCTCCCTTTTGAGTTCGGAGGACACACTAATCCAACTATATTAGCAAAATGTTACGTATACGCCATGCTTCACTCCTCAGAAGTATTCGTCGTATGCCACTAGTTCATAAAGCTACATAACTCAAAAAAGTGCAAATCAAAATTTTTTTGAATTATCTTAAATTACTTAAATATTATTCAATAGGGGCATTCATAAAATCAGAAAATTGGCTTGGCAGAAAAGCAAAGTAGAAGTCTATCTTTTATTCTTTATTTGTACGTAAGAGCTAAGCTACTCTGCTCTACAGCGATGCTAGTTGGCAGTCGCTTGTAAATAATCAAAAATATTGATAAAACTTATTATTTTAAATAAATTTACTCAAATATTTCGGTTACGGTAAAACAGTATCAATATTTGTTTTGGCTTTTGATTTTTCGAGGTGAAATTTGCAATTTTTTTCGAAAAATAGCCGGTAATGTTTTGGTTTTGTATTGATAATAAATTCAAATGGCTCCTGATTTTTCGGGCTTTCTTGAGGTTTTCGATTTTTGAGTTTTTTTTTCGCAGTTTTCTTAGGAATTTTTCAGTATATTTTCAGGCTTATTCGGGACTCTTCGATTTTTTTTTTTAGAAAATTATCGAAATTTTTGGGGCTTTTTCAGAATTTTTCCGGCAATTTTGTAGACATGCGAAATTTTTTCGGAACTTTCGGGATTCTTCAGAATTTTTCATGTTTAAAAGTACATTGAAATCTAATGCTTGCTTCTTATGCGTGATTGGCCCAAAACGCATTACTTAGGAAGGAACTATACATTTTAAAGCAATCTTTAAACATAAGGTGAATTTTAAAGTTAAAAGTTACTTAAGAAAACCGCACAAAGTGTGTTAATATTCTCAACATTTTTATTTTTATTTTTTTTGTATTTCGATGCTGTCCCGGTTAAATTGGAACAGTTGTTAACATAACATTGACTATCGATAGCGCTTGACTCTATCGATAGTATTGCTGCAAACTATCAACGAGTAACGATAGTTTTTTTCGGAAACATGAAAACTATCTATCGTTGGCGGCACTATCGATAGTTTTACAACTCTATTATTAAGCAGTTGCTTTAGTGAAAAGAAAGCCGAAATGAAATAACTTTTCACTTTGCGCTTTGCTCTGCTTTTAAAACTTCAATATTGCCATTCTTTTAGGAGCACATTATAATAAATGCTTAATAACTATAAAACCATTCAAAAAGCACTTGTAATGCATTGAGCAGGTTGTTGGTCGAGAAATTGTCGCTTCGAATATACACATACATAAATACATTATTATAAGAGTGTAAAAATAAAAATTTGGGAAAAGTTACAGTTTACGAAGCATTAAAGAGTTTATCCGAGTTTAGCAAACGAGCTGTGTGCGACGGTAAGCACTTAAGCCAATGGAAATGAAGTAGCAAGGCAACTATAAAGTAGTGCAAAGTAGCGAAGAGATGGATAGTTAAATGCTGTTCGAGTTATATTGAAAACCATAATGTGCAAATATTAAAATTTAAGTGCTAAAGTAAAACTAAGGCAAGTAGGGGTTCAGATCAACAAGAAAAAAAATAACACGTTGAAAGATTAATGCAAGCTTAATGCAAATAATATAAAATACATCGCTCAAAGTCAATCGAAAGCTTATTGAAAAAGGCTGTTTTAACAAATCTGCAAACATATGAACCAATGCGCAAATATATTTCAACGGACAAATCCTCAATCACATCCACTGCATGGATATGGATTTGTGCTCCTGCCAGACAACACAAATACGTATTATCAATAGTAAGTAGCAAGTAGCAATTCGCATCAAATCGAAATCAAAAGTATTTGTTTGTGTGTGTGAAAAAAACAGTGCTGGATAAGTGAAAAAGCAAAATGTATTTGACTGTTTGTAAACAAGCTTAGAGTATAAAGCCCAACAGCTTATGGGCATGGCAAAATCCATTCGAAGCTGAAAGCAAATATTCAATCACTGCGAGCATCTGCGTATTGAGAAATCTCCTGATGCGTATTTGGATAAAGCAAGCAGGTAAGTGAGATTTATTAGAATGCTAAGCAGCAAGATATAATAAATTGCAGGATTCAAAAGGCTCGTAAAATTAAGGGAAACCTTGTTTCTCTCACTAAAGGCTTTATGTGTATATTTGTACAATGTACATGTGAGAAAGTAAAGTCGGAGTTACCGAAAAAAGTGCCCCTATTTTTTAGTTTGAAATCAAAAGATATTTAGAGGTCGCTCAAAGCGCTCAAAGTTTTCTATGAATTTTATACGGAATTAAATAACTTTTCGTAGAAATGGTATAGAATTCTTGAAAAGCAATATTTTTTGTTTGGAAAGCTCCGTTTCTCTTCAGAAGGTTCACAATAATAATAGCCAATTGTTTATTTAATCATTTATTCATGTTAACTATATTTTATAGCAAGGAATGAAACCGATTCAAAATAACGTTCCGGTTTGGGTTTCGGTTTTGCCAAGTGTTTCGGTTTCGGTTTTGGTTTCGTTCTTCAAAATTTATTTCGGTTTTGGTTTCGGTTTCGTTCCGGTTTCGGTTTTTCACAGAAATTTTGTTGATATTATTTAAATCACAATGTCCTTAAACGTTGAGGAAAGAAAATCGAAAATTACAGTTCACTGATAATATCAACACTAGGTTCTTTCCCTAACAATCCGGACCGGATTTGGTAATTAGAGAATAGGAGAAACATTTTCTTTCAAATATGGAACAAAGTTCAGAAGTACGGAAACGCAAAAACCCACATTTCGTGCCCACAAGTCGATAAACAGCTGATTCACGTTGTTCTTGTTTTTGTCACTTATACCATGTTCTGACCGACATCGGAAACATGTTTTCGTTGCTAAAACTGGTTTTCGACCTAAAACTTGTGTTTTCGTCCATATAAAATCTGTTAAACGAAAACCAGTTTTCGCTGAAAACTACTTGAAAACTCACTTTCCACTCATTCCAATCGGTGTCTTCACTAGTTTTTTTCGATTATTTATCGAAGTGGAAGTCATATTTTATCATCTTTAATACGCCATTTCGGATTTATTGTTAATTGCCTGGCCAAAGCAAAATAAGAATGAAAGTTAAAGGTTGTAAATGAAAAGAAAATGAAGGAAATATGTTTTAGTTGTCGGTCAGAACATGGCATTAAATGCAAACACTTGGAAATTGAATTTTGGTTTCACACATTTGATTTTAAGTACATATATTGAAAATACATCAACAGGCCATTCACTTTCCCTTAAAAGCACCAAGTAAATGCAGGCAACATGTAAACACAATACAGCTGATATGCACTTTGACACTTTATCCATTTTTACTCGGAGAAAATTTCGGGCTGTTTCGGGCAGGAAGAAGAATACACTTACGATCGAATACGCTCGAATTTTCGCTCTCTATTAACCATTTTGTTGAGTACAGGCATGATTTCTGGGCTATTTTGGGTACACGCGGGATCTCGCATTGCGTACGGGAAAGAAACTACTTAAATATAATTAATCGATCCTCGATTCACAACAACAAAGTCATCAGCAGATTTTTGCGAAAAGTTACCTTGCCATACTTATTTACTACTTAACAAGAATTTTAGCAAAATGTTGCTGATTTTGGTTAAATAAATCATTTATTTCAAAGAAAGTTTTATTTATAATTTTTGTAAATTTCTGGAAACCGATTGAAACCTGTGATTGGTCAAGGTCAAGATAACGGTTACGGTTTCGGTTCCGGTTTTGAAAAACGAAACGGTTTTAAACGGTTACGGTTTCGGTTTGGGTTTCGGTTTCATTCCTTGTTTTATAGGTCCACCAAAAACCCCAGAAAATGCAATGGTGGGACCAATAAAAAATCTGTAATATTAAAAAATTTGTTAAATGAAGTCTTGAGGAGAACCAGAGTTCTCCAATCGAAAAATATTAATTTTAAAGAATTCTATACGATTTCTAGGAAAAGTTGTTTTTTCCATATCGGTGGCGAAGTGGAAGTTCGACCTATCTCGGCGGCCAGTTCGAAAACGCCCTATCTCAGAAAACTTTTCAAGAACTCCCTACTTCAGAATTTGATTGGAAAACACCCTACCTGAGAATTGGGTTGAATAATGCCCTAACTCAGCTGCCGATTCAAAAACGCCCTATATCAGCGTATTTTCGTTTGAGATAGGGCGTTCTTTCTGAGATGAGTGTTTTTCATCAAAATTCTGAAATAGATTGTTTTTCAATAAAATTCTGAAGTTGGGCGTTCTTTAAAAAGTTTTCTGAGATAGGGCGTTCTCGAACTGGCGGCCGAGATAGGTCCATCTTCCACTCAGCCATCGATATAAAATACAAGGAAAATTTTGAGCGCCTTGAGTGACCTCTAAATATTTTTTGATTTCAAAATAAAAAAAATAGGGTATATTTTTTCGTTATAGAACAATCCTAGGGGGTGAGAGCATTAAAATTCCGACTGTACTTTTTTTGGACCACCCTAGTGTACATTAGGGTGCATTAATCTCCATACAAAAAGAGTCGGCACTATTTTTTCATCGAAAGTATGTTACACTTTAAGACTTATTATATTATATATTAAAAAGTTTGAAATTTTTGGGGGATTTTGTTAAAATTTGTTGAATTTTTATAATTTTTGTATAAACTTTGAAATATGGATTTATATAGTGTGTGTTATATATTGCGCTAGACTTTTATACAAAAACATTAAACATCGAAGAAACAAAGTAATATAGCTAAAACTGGTCAAAGTAAAAAGTTTCTATTCTTTCTTCCACCACTGTATATATGTATATATATATATATATAGATTAAAATTTACGTGAGCTTGACCTATCTGAAAATGTAAAAGTATTTTTTTCTAAAAAATCACCTCAGATGATATAAGGGTTTAAGCCTAAGAGGTTAGCAAAAAAATGTTTAAAAATTGTATCAAATCGGTCTAGCTCCATTAATCTAAATAGTTTTCCCAAATATTTTGGCTGGAGTCTTAAAATATAATGCAATTTATACTTCCGGTGGAAAAGTTGCCACTTTTTTTTGTGATGCACCCTAATGTACACGCATATATGCACTAAGAAACCGGAGCATGATTTTTGAAAACAGAGTATTCTTCCACGTGTCCATATTGGCGATATAAAATTTTTAAAATTTTGCTTCTCCGGACATCTCCGAAATAGGTATAACTTCTGCCAAGCGTGTAAATTGTGTTTTTTTCCACAATAATTTTCACTAAAAACGACCTCAAGCTCAATAAAATTGTTGAATATAATCTACAAAATATGCATGCTAATTCCAATCGATTCATTCGTAGTGGCATTTACTACATTAAACATTTTTACATAAATTCATATCTATATTTGGCAAATTGGCCTTGAAGACTTTTACCCTAAACGTTCTCAAATTCATACAACGCATAATAACCTTCGTCTGTGGGTATCTGCTCGTTAAAGGTTATAAATAGCATGCCATAAAAATACATTTACTTTATACATAACTTTTAATATAAGGCATACGGCATTTTTCGAAGCTTATATTGGCATACCATTTAATATAACACCGATAATGATGGCCATTACGCGTAGGTGAAGAAATGAAATGCTTATACAAAAAAAGATCTAAATTGAGAAAATGGCCTGTTTATAGCATAAAAATGCACACGTGTACGTGCGTACCAAGACGGATAGCTACATAAATTGTATTGTTGAAATTCAATACCACTTTCGTTAAACGCGAATTTCTAAGAAAAGCAACGAACCGTAAGGGCGCATAATCAACTATGCTTCCCAATGCCGAGTAACTATGTATGTAACTTATTGAAAGTCCCAAATTGGTTGTGACGGCAGATACACAATACAGGAGGTGGAAGCAAAAAGATAACCTCAAGGGTGAAGCTTTAAAGCAACAAGTTGCCTGCTTTATGGTATTTAGTATTTTGGTTTTTTAACTATTCTGTTTTTGAAGGTTTAGGGTTTTTTTATTGAGTTGGAGTTGGGCCAAACATTAAAGCTGTAAAAAAAAATTTTGTATACCAGCAGAGGTTAACTTCCAGATTGAAGACAAAAGGTTCGTTATCTTAATTCACAAAGGCCCTAACCAAAGCTTTTCTCGAAACAGCGTTTTTCACAGATTTTGGTAGGAGGTATTGAAGTACATTTTCAATAAAAATGTTAAAGTGTTAGTACGCAAAAACAACGGAGTTACATGCCACTTTTCAAAAAGTCCTACCAGTTTTTGATAGTTTTTTTTTAAAATGCCTTTTGCTTCTCCCGTAAAATTAAAAAAAAAAGAAAATGTTGGTTGGGTGGGGTCTTTGAGAATTAAGGTGACGATATATACATACATATGTACATATAATTGCATGCATATTTTACAAGTCAAAATGTGAAAGTACAAAAGGCTTAGAACTAGAGCCGAATTATAAACACAAAAGGAAAAAGAACAAATAGAACAAGAAGAAAAAGATTCTTTGCTGCGCAACAATATAATTTCTATTCATCTTGTGGCTTCAATTTTTAAATCTTCCACGCTTTCACCAACCAACTTCGTTTCTTTACAACAAGTCGAAATTAAATAATAAAACGAAATGGAACTTTTGGACAAGCGGGCAGTTTAAGAGACAATCATTTTAGACTGACATAAGAAATCAGTCAGACCAGCGGCGAAATAAATTTCAAATTCAGCATAGCTGCCAAAGCTGCTGAGTTGTGGAGAAGTGATTTATTTAGATTGGTGTAAAAATTATGCACATTTATATTTATATTTATATAGTAAACTAATTTTTGGGACAGTGAAAAGTAAGGCATTTTTTTGTAAACATGGTATAGAATAGAAAATGTGGTTACACAAAAGATTCATTGCGCGCACGCGCTGTACGAATGAAATTACAGATGCCCTTTGAAGTACACCAGTACGGCTTTATTTTACATTAAAAAGCCTGTGAAATAATCTGCTCACGTTCAGAGTATGTACATGAGTGCCAATATGAATCTACACCTACAAAAAAAAAAAAAAAAAAAAAATCATAATTGTTTTTGTTTTTA